CAGGCCAATCCGTCTGCTGACTTCATGGCATGTTAGGTCAGAGTTATGAATTACGCAAGCATGTACCGACTGAACAGGTTCTAGCAAGTCCCCAAAGTCCTGGACCTTGGTCTTGGTCCAGGAGACCTCTAGACGCAAGGGCTTCACTTCATTGCTAAATGCATCAGGAGCCACCACTAAGGTTTCCAAAGACAGAGAATAGCCACCATCAGCAAAGTCAAGGTCAGCAACCTTGATATTGCCCAGAGTTGCTACGCACTGGCTTCGGACAGTAGCTTTGCCTAGTATCGAGTCAATGAAAGTGTTGAAAAGTATTAGTGCAAGGGCACAGCCTTGCCTCACTCCTGAACTAACAGGAAAGAAGCTCGACAGGCCCAAACCACAATCTATAGCACTTTCAGTACCAGAAAACTGGCTTCCAATGATTCTTGTTGGATTTCCTCTCAGTCTCAGGATCTCCCAGAGAGATGCACCGTATCAAACGCCTTCTTGAGGTCGATGTAGGCTGCAAGCAGCCCAGGCCCGAACTCACGATGGCGCTCTACAATGACTTGGAGCGCAAGGATACGGTCTATTGTGGACTTACCAAGAGTGAATCCAGATTGCTCTGGCCTCTGATGCCTCAGCAGGTGGTCACTGATACGTCTCAGAAGGATGTGGACGAGAACCTTAACTGGTTTACTGAGCAGTGTGATGCCTTAGTGATTGCTGCAGTCCCATCGATCGCCCTTTCCGAAGAGGGATGACCACACACGGTACCGGACTGCCAGAAGGCATCCAGAACAGCATGCAACTTCCGCGCCATGGGTTTACCACCAGCCTTTAACAGTTCAGCTGGGATGCCACAGATACCAGTTGCTTTACCACTCCTCAGCTTGGAGATCACCCTCCTAACTTCAGTTAGGGAGAGTGGATCCTCACTAATGGGTGGGTACGGTAACAGAATATCGGCACTACCCGCATCCAAGTCAACTGTTGGTGGGGCAACCTGGTACAACTGCTCGAAATACTCAGCTCGACGCTCCCGCACCGCAACAGGATCTGAGACAATCAGGCTACTTGCAGAGCGAACTGCTGTCACCTGTGAAGAGGGCCTGGAGTTCAGCTTTCTCAGGGCTTTGTAGGCCGGACGAAAATCACTTATTAAGAAATGGCCTTCGAGCTCATCTGGAAGATTCCTAATAAATTGTTCCTTGTCCCCTCTCTACAGTGGCCGAGTTCTGAGAACGGTGCAAATCCCGTTCCCCTGTTTGACGAGCTACACGACAAGCATCAGTAGCTTCCAGCGTCTCCTGCAAGATAAATTTCTGTCTTGTTCTTGGTCGTTCACCAACCGAATCTTGAGCTGCATCAAGCGTTTCGTGCTTGAAGGTGTCCCACAGAAGTACAGGGTCCGTCAGATTGTCGATCACTGTGAAACGACCAGAAATTGGCTCAACAAACCCACGAGGGTAGTCATTGGACCGATGGGGAGTTTTGAAGTGGACCCGCAGGGTCCACTTCAGTAATGAAGATACTTACTAGGGGCAATGAGGCTTACCCCTTCTTCAAATAGCCCCACCGGCTCCCCGACCCCAGGCTCTCCTTTGACCACGACTCCAAACACTGAAACTACTACCCACGCCTCAATGCCTACTAGTGCATTACCCACCCAAGCAGAGACTCAATCTCCAAAGACATTCCTATCCTCCCAACTTCCTCAAATTCATCAACTCTACCCCCACAACCTTCATCAAGCATCCCATCCTCCCTTATTACTACCTTACAGCCTTATTCTTCATCACTCCGTAATACTCCCTCTTCCACACGTCCCAGTCCATCCACCACCACCAACCCTACAGATATCTTAAATACTCTGTTTAGCCCAGCTAAATGGGACCGATTTTTCGTGATCCCCCTTACAGCTCCTTACTCAGGCAACACTCTTCTCTTCCAGCAATGCCTTCAAAAACAAGTAGGCAGAGTCCCTTTCTATACCAGACGCGATCGCTCCCGTCTTGTAACAGTCAGATCAGAAACTGAATCTATAGCACTATCAAATTTAACTGATCATTCCTGCAGAACCTCATCCAACCCTTAATACTTGTACCGAAACTGTCTCTCTCTCCCCAGCAAACTGCCCAGTCGATACCAAAGATTGGTCAGAATGTGGAGGACTTATTAGGATGCCTCAAAGAACAAGATGTGAAATCAGTACATTGCTACACCATTCCTCCTAGAGGTCAACGAAAGAATCCGACCAACATTGCCAAAATTACTTTCCGTACACATGACCTTTCCTTACGTATCTACATTGGTGGACAATCCCTCCCTGTTCGACCATACCAACCCCATCCCCGTCAATGTCAAAACTGTTGGCGCTTTGGACATCCTGCAAAACACTGCCGTTCCACAGACCGATGCCCCATATGTGCCCAACCTGGTCATAACCGATCAAACTGCTCAGCACAAACATGAACATGTTGTAACTGCGGCAGCCCCCATAATGTATTTTATAGAGGCTGTCCTACTTACAAGTTGGAATCTGAAGTAGCAACTCTCAGATACAAAAATGGTCTCACTTTACGTGAAGCCAGACAGGAAGCACGTCGACAAGGTTTCTCTCATACGCCATACTCTAGTAACATCGTTCGCTCAGCCCCTCCCCCTCCACCCAAGATTCCCATTTCCACTTCTACATTCGACCTCCCTCAGACCAATTCTTTTGCCACTCGAACCAGACACCCCAATTTCAACCACAGCTCCAACCTCAACTACAGCTCCCAACCAATTCTTTTGCCACTCTAAATCCAGACACCCCAACTCACCACAGCTCCAATCTCAACTACACCCAATACCATCCCTCCCTCCCCGCATTACCTGCAGTAGACAGACTAAACGTTCTAACCTTCTTCCCCAACCACACGCTCACCTCCACCTACCTTTATTCCTGAGACACCAGTCTCTTCCCCCCCTCATAAGAAAACCTTTGTCCCACAAAGCTCTCCAACTTCACTGCAGAAACAATTACCTTTATTCTTGAGACACCAGTCTCCTCTTCCCCCCTAAGAAAACCTTTGTCCCACAAAACTCTCCAACCAACTCTACTGCAGAAACTATGGATGACATTCAAAGCTATATGTTTGAGACACAAGATCTCATGACTCATGCTCCTTCCACACTTGAAGTGATTGACGATATCCATACCCCTCCTACTCATATTCCCTCTACACCCCTTCCTCCTACTCCCTCACAACACAACCTAACCCCCTCAATTCCGTCCACCACCGATATCCATCCTCCCGATACCCATCCTCCTAATATCCATCCCCCTCTTACTCATAGTACCCTACACCCCTTCCTTCTAATCCCTCCCAAGACAACACATCCCCTTCAACCCCAGCTATACGCACATTCTCCCTCCCTCCATCCCCTCTATCCGTTCCACTCCCTCCCGGATACACACGCGAATCACTCATGTCACAACAGTGCCCTTCCCCAGATTCTCTACCTCCTGATACCCCTCATTTACACCCCCTAGCTCCCCCCCCCCGATTCACCAACACATACCGACGCTTTCACTCATAAAATAACTAAGATATAACTCTCCTACATTGGAATATTCGCAGCTTCCGTTCTCACAGACCAGACCTCCGTCATATCCTTGCTTCTTATAATCCATCTATTATCTGCCTCCAAGAGACTTTCCTCACACACCCTCCTATTCCAATTCCCAATTACCATTTTATCTCTACCCCACACTCCCTTTATGCCTCGTCTATACTTATCCATCATAAAACACCTTAATATCCTTTGCTTGATCGAACTCCTTACCTAAACCACCATAACCCTTTCCCTCATCAACCCTTACCCAACTTGAACCTTTCAACATTACTCTAGATAGTTGACGCATAGCAACTATCACCTGACATGACCCTTTACTATACGTTCCTATAGTGCTATATGACAGATGTCTAGCACATTTATTTTGCTTTTAACCATTACACCAAAATTAATTGACCTCAAGTCCGGTCACACGGAATATGATTCCAGGCATAAAGGGGGTGACACACTAGCACTATTTCCGTGTTTTATTTTTCTTGCTACGGCTGGCAAATTGGCCGAATGCGATCATTTCCAGTGAAACGATAATTAGCGTTTCCGCTGGCAAATTTACCGTGGTCTTTCTGATTAAATTCATAAGCTATAATAGATAATCGTTAAAGTAATGCAAACAAATTTATTCATAATATAAAACGATTCAAAAAGACAGTCTAAACTGTAAATAATGTTTAAAAATTGGGATAAATTCTCTCTTGTATTTAATAAAAATACAATTCGGTAACTAGCAGCTCGCCTGTTTGCTTACATTTGTGTCCACGTTCCCCCGTCAGCTGACTAGAGAGCAGCGAGAACACGCTCTTATTTACCATTATACATTCTTTGTTTCGCATTAAATCGTCGCCACATAGCCTGAATAACGTCCGTCATCGCCAGGGCCTGTGCGGGGGTTAGAGCCATCTTGCTATGTTTAAAAATTTGTTAAAATTGTGTGAGGCCCGACCCAATGAATTTTCTTAAATACAGACATCCATATAAGCAGAAATAAATGAATATCTGTCTATATATCTGATAGCTATACCTTTAACTACCATTTTGCCCGGTTGATATGCATGTCTAGACTGATAAATATGCATTTCTTTCTTTATTTATGCATGACACGTATACGAATATTCTTTGGGTCGGGCCTCGCGCAACTCTAACAAACCGGCCGAAAATGACCACGATTTCCGTGGTGCCAGCGGAAAAAAGTCCAAGTGTGACACGGTCCTTGGATGCCCATCTTACATCAAAACCAAAAGCACTTAGAGAAACCTCCGCCAAGGCAAAAGGGTCACTGATGCAATAAAAATATTCACACTGCAAGAAGTACATGCAACTCACCTCTTTCTCACGTGCACTGGTGGCGTCCGGACCACCGCCAACATTCAATGGCATCTAGGTTGGGCTAAGACATGCCTCTGGTTAAAAAAAATCATTAAATATCTGTTCATAACTTCTTGAGTTATCCTTCCAACCAACTATCCAACGCTACCAAAATAATCTCATTGGCGGAGGTAATGAGGAGCATAGCTGGGGGGATGAAACAGACATACAAACATATAAACATATATATGTACAAGCATGTGTGTGTGTGTGTGTGTGTGTGTGTGTGTGTGTGTGTGTGTGTGTGTGTGTGTGTGTGTGTGTGTGTGTGTGTGTGTGTGTGTGTGTGTGTGTGTGTGTGTGTGTGTGTGGTGTGTGTGTGTGTGCGTGTGTGTGTGTGCGTGTGGTGTGTGTTGTGTGTGTGCGTGCGTGTGTGTGCGTGCGTGTGCGTGTGCGCGCGCGTGCGTGCGTGCGTTCGTCTGGTTATTGTGTGCATACACTATCCACCCTGACAAAAACTCAACCTCAGCCACTCTAAGCAAACCGAAACCCACTTGACTTCGCATTTGAGGGCGCAGGAGATAGGCCTAGAAGCACATTTTTAAAAGGCACTGTGGAGCAACCACTAAGATTCAACTACAAAACAATGCATTCCTATTTCAAGAATCTGGTCAAAATACAGTAAAATCTACCTTTTACGAACACTTCTCTGCGCGTTGGTTTGTTTACGTTTGAAGGAAAGGAATCACTCGGGTTCGAATTTATTTGAATCCGAAGCACTTTCTTTTCTTGTGTCTTTATGTATATGTATTATACATGAATACATATATGTGTGTGTGTATGTGTGTATATATATATGTATGTATGTATAATAGCTGGGGTGGTTGGCTACTTCCACCGTACACAAGGATATGGGAACAGGGTAAGGTGATGATCGTCGCATCATATAGACACACATACACACATACGAGAGACGTGGGGGAGACAGATAGGTAGTGAGAAACAGAGAGGGGGAGATAATGAGGTAGATGGAAAAATAAAGATGGAGGTAAGAACGTGAGAAAGAATGGAGGTACGGACGAGGTGAGAGACTTCGCACACTTCGAAATGTGTAAGAACGAGCGCACACGCACACACACGCACGCACACGCACGCACGCACGCACACGCACATGTAAACTCAAAATGCACATGGATCCCTCTATCGGTGGTCAGGTGTGATGCTGATGTAGACAGCCTTGGTGATAAGGCAGAGCTGATGTCCAGGGGCCGTGACTTGGGTAGTTCCTATACTGCTTTAGTTGCACATTTTCTTGAATATTTTAGAAATTTATATGCTAATGAGCAACTCGTGTCTCCAACATAATTTCTCTAACATGTCCATGTCGCTTTATCATCGTACGAGGCGCAGCGCATGTACCAACGCCATACAATAGCTGCAAAGTTCCTGTTACATACTCCACATAGGCAGCTTACCGGCGAAAAGGTTTTGTAATATAAATCCCACAGGGGCAGGCAAAGGGTTAAACGCTCCATTTTTTTTTATCCTCTTTATTAACAATCGGTGCAAATTTACAGTGTCGACGCTGATGTATCTGATTTATCCATATGCGCCTTTCGTGACATGGGCTGGTGCCGTGACCAATCATATCTGGAGAATCTGAAAATCAGTGCTCATACTCATACATGGGCGACACAAATCTCATAAAATTTGGCCTTCTTCAAGATGAGCAATACACACACACACACATTATATATATATATATATATATATATATATATATATATATATATATATATATATATGACGAAAAATTGATGCAGGCCAGTGACATTGTTGCATATGGATGGGGGGGGGGGTCATAGAGGCACATACACTCCTGCCTGGTAATAAACTGCAATATTAGGCTAGGTTAGGTTAGGAGGTTAGGCCTGGCAGTGAAGGTTAGATTAGGTTAGGCTAAGCTAGGTTGAGTTAAGAGAGTCATAGTTACTCCCGCCGTTTACCCGCGCTTGGTTGAATCTCTTCACTTTGACATTCAGAGCACTGGCAGTAATCACAATGCGTCAGCATCGATCACCGACCATCGCATTGGGCACCTGCTGCCGGCGGGCGCTCGGGCTGCGCGGCTCGAGCGGAGGGGAGGGCACCCGGCGGCGGTGGAGCGCAGAGCGGCCGCGGGCCCGGCGACCGCCCCTGCGGGGTCGGGTCCGAGCTCGGAGCGACCTCGTGAGAGGCCGCCCCTCGCCCAGTCCTTCTCCCTCGGAGCGGGCCGAAGCGCCGCGGCGCCGCAGGCCGCCGATGCCGCGGGCACCCTTGGGTCCCCTCCTCGCCGCCGCCTCCGCGCGTCGCCGGCGGCCGCCGCCAGGAGAACGAGGGACCGCTTCCGGCTGTGGGCCCGGCATGGCTCGACCCTCAGAGCCAATCCTTGTCCCGAAGTTACGGATCTAACTTGCCGACTTCCCTTACCTACATTGATCTATCGACCAGAGGCTGAACACCTTGGAGACCTGCTGCGGAGTAAGGTACGGACTGCCCCCCGCGACGCGGGCGTGCTGGGTTGGCATCTCAAGAAAACTCCCGAGGGCCCGTTCTCTGCTAGACCTGCCTAGGTAGGTATAACAACCACCGCCCCTAAGGCGGTGTGTGTCCTCACGACCTCCACCCCACAGGGATCGCTCTCCTTTCGGCCTGGAGCGTTCGACGAGCAAAGCGAGAAGCGCATTACGGCGCCGCGCACAATGCCGCCGCCCCCATCATCATCGTTTTCGTTTCTTTTTTTCTCTCTCTTGGCTTCGGTTGGGTTTGGTTGGTTGGTACCGGAGGGGGTTTACCCTATCCACCTTTTCAAGGGCCGCGGTAGCGCACGGGACACCAAGCGCTTATTTGCGCGGTGCTCTACGGCGAACCGGTGGCGATCGCAACAGCGAGGATTGCTCCCAAACAGATCACAATCTCACGTATGGCTGTTACGGCCAACGACCCCCACTCAAAGTGAACGAACTTGGGGGCCTCCAGCAGCCTAAAAAAGAGAAGAAAGCTCTTCCCCGGGCTACCGCCGGCGTCGGCGAACGAGTACGCCTGTTGCCAAGCACACACACTGGCCTCCGGATCTAAGATTCGAGATTCAAAGGGGGGCTGGCTGCCAGCGCGCCCGCGCACTCTCTTTTGCTCTTTCTTTCTCTTCTCAAAGCTCTCCCGGAAGCCGTGGCGGTGGAAGCCAATCGTCAAACCCCTCGACCGACCCGACCCGACCACAACAAGCAGGGTGGGAGGAGGCAGGGGGAGATTCTTTTCCACGCCGGTTTTCCGAGGAGGAAGAGGAGGAGGCGCTTACTCCGAGAGCGAAGGGGAGGTCGTAGTACACACCGTCACGGTTAGGGGGTCTCCAAGCCCGCAAGCGGGCGAGACCGGCGAGGTCGGCAAGAGAGCGGTGGTCGTCGCCGCCGCCCCCCCCCCCCCCCGCGAGGGGAGGGGTGGGGGTGGGGGGTCGACTCCCACTCTCTTCAGAGAAAGCCCTCTCACAGAAGGGGGGCGGAGGAGGATCGTCGTGACAATCTCCTCCCTCCCCCCCCCACACCAGAAAAAAGGGGAGGGGGGGGGGAGGAGGAAGGAGGCTATCCGGCTCGGCCCGGAAAAATGCCCTGCAGACCCTACAGAACTCATGGGCAGTGCCGGTACACCAATCGTGCACTCACAAACACCACACCCTTCTACACTTACAAATATCTACTACATTTGACGCTCACACTTACCAGGCCCAGTCAGTACTCCTGGAGACCGTAGAGAGACGACCAGAGTAGTGGTATTTCATCGTCGGCCGCGTGAGCGACCTCCCACTTATGCTACACCTCAGGTGCCTCTCTACAAAGCCAAACTAGAGTCAAGCTCAACAGGGTCTTCTTTCCCCGCCGTTAACTGCAGGCCCGTTCCCCTGCCTGTGGGTTCGCTAGATAGTAGGTAGGGACAGTGGGAATCTCGTTAATCCATTCATGCGCGTCACTAATTAGAGGACGAGGCATTTGGCTACCTTAATTTAGTTAGGCAATGAAAGTTGATTTCTTATCGTTATTATTATTACATTTATTAACGTTGTCGTAATAACCATCATCACTAACAGACCTCGCGAAAAAGACCCACGGCTGTTGACAATAGCAACATTCGTTATAAAACCAGAATACATTGCAATAACTGTATAAAACACACACACACACGTACACATACATCGCAAAGGCGTCTCTTTCCATGGTCAATAACAGCAATATCCTAATCACAATTATGGAAATCAAACCCACAAGAGCGCCGCGCCCACACGCACGCCAGCCAGCCCGGAGGCAGACCGACGCCGCCAAGGTCTATGTCACTCCTTATATAGACCTCGCACGCCGCCCCTCGTCACGTGGGCGGGGAAAGCGCGGGGAAAAAAGCGCGGGAAAAGCCAGCTGTTTCCGCGACAAGGGAACCGTGATGCCCTTATCGGGGCGGGGGGGGGGGGGGGTCGTGTCGCTGTGAGGGAAACTAACCTCTTTTTGCCAGGTGTTATCTGTCCAAGGAAGAAAAATGTGTAGTTAAGCTAGTTACGGAGAGTAAAATGACATGGGATGTTATGCATATGTTATTAATATATATATATATATATATATATATATATATATATATATATATATATACATATCCTTATATATATATATATATATATATATTAATATATATATAATATATATATATATATATATATATATATATATATATTATATATATATATATATATATATATATATATATATATATATTTATATATATATATATATATATATATATATATATATATATATATATATATATATATATATATATATATATATAATACATATAATATATATAATATATATATATATATATATATATATATATATGTATGTATGTATGAATATGTATATATATATACATATACATATACATATACATATACATATATACATATATATATATATATATATATATATATATATATATATATATGGTAATTTCCTATATTACGTCCGCCACTCCGATATCGACGATTTTGGTATCGTTGGATTCCTCTCACTCTGTACAGTGCAAATATGTAGGTTTTATTGCGCGGCAAACTTGGCCCCGATAGCAGGGGCGACCATGTCGGAGCGGCGGACGTAATATATAAAATTGCCCTAATAATATAACCCACAGTGAAAATAACCATGGTAATTCACATGACTTTCCATTGCATGGGGCTGCGCCCCCTGCAATCCTTTTCCTGCTCGGTCATGGCTGCGTGGGTGAACCGCAAGGACTCGGGGGTCCGTGTCCTTGGCGGTCCGCGGTCCAGTGGTCCGGCTGGGGTCCTGGATCTCCGTTCAGCACTGGGGGCAACAGATGGCGCTGGGGTTGAGGGTCAGCACTCGCACTCCTACATCTTTTTCCCTTTTTCTTTTCCTCCCCCCCCCCCTCTTCCTTCTCCTTCGTCTTTTGCTTCTTTCCTCTTCTTCCTTTTCCTATCCTCATTATTATTATTATTTCTTCTTCTCTTTTCTCTAATTCTTCTGCTCTCCCCTCTTCTTCTCTTTCTCCTCCTCCCCTTCCTCCGCCTTCTACTTCTTCCTCTTCTCCTCATTCCTCCTTTCTCTTTGTCCTCCTTCTCATCTTTCTCCTCCCTCTCTATTTCTGCTTTTCTCCAGTCTGTCCTTCCCCTTCTCCCTCTTCATCCTCCATCATTTGTGGATGATTTCATCTTTCTTTTTCAACGAAAGTTCTGAGAAAATCGGGCGCAAAAAAGAAGACCTGATAAAGAGGAAACCCGTGATTTTCGTCAGAGATAAGCGGACCTCATGACCAAAGCCCTGGGAAAACATGACGTAACCCCCCCATGATGCCCCAACCACCCCCTCCCCCCGCCCTCCCTCGCGGCCCTGTAAAACTCTGCGCAGCGACGCCGGGAGTCACTTGCGCCTCAGCCTCCGGAGGAACCGCAGCAGCGCCCGTCGTCCCGTGGAAAGTCGAAATCCTGAAGAGGTATGTCCTGGGAGACATCTTGCTGTCGCGTCTTGCGTCAACAAAGCAAACAAATCCACGACAATAATTGGACATCTACAAGACGACTTTCCTTCGTCGGCAGAGCGAAGATGCGGCTGCTATTGGCTTCTGCTGCGCTGCTGTGGCTGAGCGCAGCGGCGGCGGCGGAGACGGTCGAGGTGCAGCTCCAGCAGGGCGCCATCGTGGGCTCGAGGTCCGAGGCCAAGGGCGGCAGGGCCTTCTACGGCTTCCTGGGCATTCCCTTCGCTCAGCCTCCGGTCGGGGCACTCAGGTTCAAGGTCAGCGGCCGGGGGTCAGGGGAGAGGTTGGAGGATCAGGGGGGGCGGAAAGGGACCGGGCGAGGGGTCAGGGAAGGGCGGAGAGGGACCAGGCGGGGGCGGACGGGCGCAGACTCGGTCAGCCCCCCGGAGGCCTCGGAACCCCCTTCGCCAAAGTGATTCCGCGGCTGTTCCGACATCCTTCTGCTAAATCAATTCTTTTAGCATGATTTCACTATTTCCATTCATGTTTTGCTTTGATCGATGTTTCTCCTTCAGATCTTTTCATTTAACTCGGATGTCTCCTGTCGTCTTTTAAGATATATCTCCACTATTATAATCTTTACACCAACCACAATATTCCGGTCAACTTCTGCCTAACTTCGTGCACGCCAGCGCCAATCCCTTCCCCGAGCGTCACAGAGAAAAATCCCCCGCAGGATCCCGTGGCCGCCGGGGCGTGGGAGGGCGTGAGGAACGGCACCGTGGCCCCGCCCTTGTGCCCGCAGCCGGACGCGCCCTCGGACTGGATGCAGGAGGACTGCCTCTACCTCTCCGTGTTCACGCCGCAGGTGAGTCGCCTCGGGAGGAGCGCGCGCGGCGCCCTTGGGCGGAGGAGGCGCTGCCGGGGAACAGCCAGTGAGTTTGTGACCTTTGCTCCTCCTCGCCCAGATGGGTTCCAGCACCACTGCTGCCTCGTTGCTTTAGAAAGGATAATACAAAGATTGAAAAAGGCCTCCACCTGAATTAACCTTTATGCAGGATGTGCGCACGGGAATGGGCAGTGATGGAAGAGAAATGAACCTAATTAAGCCCCCTTTACTCGCACTCCATGCCATTTACACCAGATGTTTTGTACTTTTTTTTTGAGCATCGTCTTTAGTCATTTTTTATTCATTTTTTGCTTGTCTGCATGTTTTTGCAATCGTTGGTAGCCTTACGACTAGAAATCCGAATGGCGTTTCAGCCCAACCGGACTGACCTCCCCGTGATGGTGTGGCTTCCCCAAGGAGGCTTCATCAGCGACGCGACGCCCCTGTTCCAGCCGGAGTTCCTCCTGGCGAAGGACGTGGTCCTCGTCGTCCTGCAGCACCGCCTCGGCGTCCTGGGTTCGTGTCGGTGCCGCTTCCGGTGTCTATGTTGGCATGTTGCGTGCGAAAGTGGCTTTCTTGTCGGTGATCAGATGGGATTACGCTGAGTATCTGATTAAGACTATTTTTCATCTAGTGCATTTTGTCAATTCTCGCTTCCTCGTCATTGCACCAGAGCCATGAAGGGCTAATGCGGTCGATTCCCTCAGGATTCCTGTCGACCGAGGACGCCGAGCTCCCTGGCAACCTGGGGCTGAAGGACCAGGCGATGGCCCTTCGCTGGGTGCAGGACAACATCCGCGACCTCGGCGGAGACCCAGACAAGGTCACCATCTTCGGCCAGAACGCGGGGGGCGCGGCTGTGCACTACCACATGCTGTCTCCCATGTCCAGTGGTAAGTCCGTCTCTCCTGGCCAGAGGAAATTCCATCTCATGGCCAGCAGTAGGTTCCTATTCGAGATGTGGGGAAGAGGTAGGGATGTGTATGTGTATGTATGAGAGAATTCAGACCTTGAGCATATGATGGTTTCTAAAGATTATCTCAAGCTCATCCACGTTCCATCTATGGCAGATGCGTAATTTGTCGCCCAAGAGACTTCTCCCGTCTCTAATTTCCTTCCTCTCCCGCCGAAGGCCTCTTCCAGCGAGCCATCATGCAGTCGGGGGCGGCGCTGTGTCCCTGGGCGCTCCGGGAGGACCACCGGCAGGTGGCCTTCGGCTTCGGCCGCATGGTGGGCTGTCCGGGCGACGCGCGCGGACGCCGCCAACAGCACGGCGCTCGTCGACTGCCTCAGGGACGTCCCCGTCGAGCAGCTGATGGCCGTGACGCCCTACATCACGGTGAGCGAGCGTCCTTCTGGACGGCTTATTAGTGTGTGTGTGTGTGTGTATGTGCATTTCATGCGTCCCTGGATCAGTAAACGGACAGAAGGAAACGTGACCCTCGCCTCCGCCCACAGCCCTCCCCGTACGTCCTGACGCCCCGCGTGGACGGCGAGTTCCTGCCCGCCCACCCCGCCACGCTGGTCAGGGAAGGCCGCTACAACCGCGTCGACGTCCTCTCCGGCGCGACGGGACGAGGGCGCCTTCAACGCCAGAGGTGAGGGCCGGCGCCTGGCTCCGTCCTCGCAGCCACAAATGCCATTTCAATCATTTATAAAGACTTCCTTTCCCCGCATATGCTGCACAGCATTTCGCCACCTGGCGGTCGAACTTTGAAGTAAAAGGGAACCTCTTTCTCGCTTCCTCCTCAGCGTTCGTGAGGACGGCGTCATGGACAGCATGATCCAGAACTTCAGCCTCGTGGGCCCCCCCGCCCTCGGCTTCGAGGCCTGGGACGACGACCCGAGTACCTGGCCCGCCTGGCCTTCCACAGGTACCTGGGGCCCATGGAGTTCGACCTGACCAGGATCGACCCTCTCGTCAAGGTAAGACCAGCAGGGCATCGCCAGACGCCACGGGCCTGAGTGAGAAATGCTCTTTGGAGCGACTGCGCCTCAGTGTCAGTACCTCGGCCTGACCCCGACCCTCCTCCCCCCTCCCCAGCTCCTCGGCGACAGCTTCTACAGCATGTGCCACGTGGAGGCCGTCGAGCACCACGCGCGCGACGCCGCCTTCGGCTTCCGCGCCTTCGCCTACGAGCTGCAGCACCGCGGGGAGCACGCCTTCTCCGACCTGTTCCGGGGGCCCTCGCCCGCGTGGAACCTGGCCTGTGAGGAGCCCTTCCTCGGGGACAAGAGGCTTTCCCGAATTTGTTGTGAATAAATGCAGGTTTGGATAAGGTTTCTTTACTGTTTTCATTTTGGTCCGTCTCCACGTGACGGATTTAGCTCTGGCGGCGACCGACACAAAGGCTTCTCTCGCACACAGACGTGGGCGACTCGGACGACCTGCAGTACCTCTTCTCCTTCGATAAGCTCAACGTCAGCCTGACCAAGGAGGAGGACCTCTTCGTGTCCCGGATCATGGTGGATCTCTGGACCAACTTCGCCGCCACCGGGTGAGAGGAAACGCTTTCCAGGGATGTCCAAGGACGGGGATTTGCGAGTCAGTCTCGGCAGCTGATGTGGCACACTACTGCACACCAGCTCTCTGGGGAAACAATGAGCTTCGTAATTTGCAAATATGTCGGCAAAAGAATGCTAAAACGATCCACTAAACGATCTCCCTCGCAGGAACCCGACGCCCGACCTGTCCCTGGGCTTCAAGTGGACGCGACCGAGGCCTCGAGCCTCTCCTACCTCGGCATCACCTCCGCCCCCGCCATGAAGTCTACGACAGGGAGCAGGTACGGCGCTCGGGCCTCGAAATCAAATCGGGTGGGGTGGGGGGGGGGGGGGGGACCGCGAGCACGCTGATGCGAGCCCATTCTTTTAGCAAGAAATCGGTGCCCAAAAATTCCCCATTTTTGGGTAAGCAATAATATTTTTTGCAGAAAGGTTTCGTATGCTGTCAAACAACACGCATAATTTCGAGAGCAATATCCAAAAGCCTTCACATGCATTTCCACCTTTTCCCAGGACATCGAATTCTGGAGGAACCTGCCGAGGAAGATGAACAAGCTGCTGTACCCGGACCGCTTCTCGCAGGGCAGGAACTAGGACGCCAGGATGAGAGAGCCGCCGCTTCGGGTGTTTGAGGGATGTGCCTTTAATGCCCCAGCCCCAGCGCTTGAATAATTAGCACATATCTTGCATATGCATTGTATTACTTACCTTTTATCCGAAATTCATATTCATCTACAAACTGTTTAAACAAATGTGTTGGTATATATCTACAGAAAGTACACGCCGTTACAATGCGTGTATAAAATGTGTTAATGAACCACAAAAGAGGAATCGGTAAGCTCGCAGCATCATACACAGAGAGCATACCCTCCAAGATGGATAAAATAAATGCAGAAATTAACAAAACACGAATAGTAATATAGATGTCATCATCATCTCCAGCCGTCTACCACCAGCGAGTCTATCTTGTACGTCTGGTTCTCGGCCACTCTAAAGAACTCAATTTTCTGATGCTGGAACCCAGCAGCACGGCAGGTTTGGTCCTCTGTGGAGAATTCTGGGGTTAAATACTACTTCATACCACACCTGTGGGAAATTTCCCGAACCAACCAGATGAACACTATCATAATAATCTCTCCACAAGACCTGTTAATTATATTGGAGAACCGTTCAGACATAATCAGCGGTCTCCAAGCGGCGATTGGCATAGGAATGGCATGGTGTTTATCTGTTCAGCCTCCTCTCTTCTTCCACTAATATCACTGTAATTTCAAATAAATGAAGTAAATAATATAGTAGAAAGAGTTCCACCACTCTTTATTTATTAATAATTGAAATCATACATACCGAATCCCAAAAAGGACAAGATATTAAGGTCAAAACAATTAATAAGCCGTTCGATCGGAAATATGGAGAGAGAAGACCAAAACACGCGTCTCTCTCGTACATCTTTCGAAAGTTGCATCTTCTAAAACTGTAAATTATTAACCTTTCCACTTCACAATCTTCTTCATAAAATTAACTTAATTATTTATAATTCACAATAAATTAGGCATATAGATTACACTGCTCATACAAAGTTTTAAATTTCTCACATCCTCTGTCCAGCTCATTTATTCCCATGGATACCGAGTGCTTGTGCAAGTCGGATATCGCCATAAATGAGCAGTGGGCGTCTTGGTCAAGCTGTTGCAGGCACATGACACGCTGTGGGGGCCGCTATGTCTCACAGAGAAATGGTTCTTGAGATCCTTAATCTTCTTACCAATTGCAAGAATGACGTATAAAGATTTGCAATTAAGGAAGGCAGTTTACTTATTGTACTCTCCCTGCTGACCACTACTTCAAAGTCAGTGTTTTCCAAACCACCTGTTAACACTGCTCCTCTTCTTGGGACTCGACTGAGGTCCTCAGAAGCTTGTCCATTCTCTTAAAAAGGAACGACTGATTTCACAAAGAAAGGAATTTGCCAAAAGATTGTCCCTACGTAATGCAAGGGAAATTTTGATTTTCCCCTTTTCTGTAAAAAAAAAATAATAATAATAATAATATAAAAAAAGCCTTTGCCGACATTACTTCCAGATCACTCCTCTTATATGAACACAAGATCTGAACAACCATTGCTACACACTGATTTCAAAGTTCTCGCCCCAGACAAAAGGAAAGCTCTGTATCCAGTCTTTTAGCAGGAATGTATCTACTCTGGCCAAGAATTCTATGCTGCGTCGAACACAGCGGTCAGGAGTTACATATCAATGGGCTTGCTATGTCATCAGATCGCCAGTGAGTGTTCAGTAAAATGTATATATAACATGTTCATTTCGCTGCAGTGCATGGGCAATGACTCCCACGGGCATAAAGATAACAAAATCGGACCGTATATTTATCATATTATTCTAGACGTTTATTACACATACCTGGAAATGAAGAAGCAAACACGATCCCGATGTTTGTGGTTTACTTGACATTCTAAAGACGATGGTGTCCTTTGCTATGAACTAAAACGAACACTTCTCTTCGACATCTTTCCTAAACGCACAGATATAGTGGTCAATAGGCCATGACAATTGTCCAAGAAATAAATATCTGCTTTGGGTATCACACGCCTCCTTAAGACTCCGTAAGACCCTTTTCACACGGTGCGGTTCGTTTTGCGGTTCGTTTGCGTTCGAGAGAAAAAATCACTGGTTCACATTTTAAGTTTAGGATTCGGTCATTTTGCGCCTACTTGTTACTCCAACATGGCGCCCCAGAAATGCAGTAAAAAGTAGCTAGCAGAAGTCGCGTTGCTTATAGGTGCAGAAGAGAAGAGAGAAGAGCAGAGTTGTGTAAAGAGAAGTGTGTGGGTAGACGAGGGATTAGTGGAATGGAGAAAATGAGGGGGATTTTTCACTTCCGTTAAAGAATTACATGTAGTAGTCTCAGATGTATTTGGGGATTTTCTTCCCTCGAAACAAAATGAAGTGGTCCTAGCTGGATTTAGGGATATTTTTCCTCCAATAAGATGATGAATTAAAGTGGTCTAAAGTGGATTTGGGTGCTTGCAAGGTACTTTTCTTTACCGTACCGCCCTTTAATTAAATATATTAATGACCTTTTTTACCGGTTTTATCCTTTTCACATTGTTCTTGTCAACATCTGAACATCATCTACTTTTTTCCATTTTCTTTGCCACTTGTTTTGCGTCATCCAACTTGCCAGATAACGAAAGGTGTTGCTTTTGCATAGCTCCATTCGGGCACACTGACTGCTCCCTGTCCTTCGTTTTCAAATATGTTTGTTCATTCCACCTTGCTTTCAAATCATTACCTTTGAAATGAGATATAGAATCATTAAACTTGATAAGAATTCAGGTCTCTCTCTTCTTTATTTTTATTTTCATATTCTTTTTTTTTAGCTTTTCTTTTTTCTACTACTACTCGTCTATTAGAGCGAGATTAGAATACAAAACGCCTTAGCCAGCCGAGAAATCAAGAATATTGCTGCAGATTAAGCGATTTCTGAAACTTCCCGAACTGCATAAAGGCCATGAATTAAAAAACACAAAAAAACTATTTAATTACTATCATGTTTTTTGCTTTCTTTTCCTCGCATTCGTGGATACAGATTACAAATATATAGCACTTGGCATCGGGTCAAACAGCAAGAATATAATGAAGGGGCATCTTTTCCCATCCAAATTCTGGTGAGCATCTAGGGAAAGATTTTCTCAACTTACCCTCCATCACGACCTTAATTCGTATCAGAATCAAATCTTTCCGAGTGAAAACTTATTTATCGAGATCTTATTCTCCTTCGAAGAACAAGAATAATGCCCAAAAGAACCATTTTAGTTATCGTCTCTCACGTGCAAGGAGAGATTTCGAAAGCGCCCGAGGGAAGTTGACCCAAAAATTTTGAATGTATCAAAGGCCTCTGGTTTTGTCAGCAGATAATCTTAACATTATATTTCCAACTTACATAGATCTCTGCGTAAAGGTGCTTCAAAAGCCACGAGCAAAAGAGCAAAGAAAGATCTTCTGTTGACATATGCAGGCTGAGAGGAACTGCTACCCCGGGTGCATTGTGGGTAAGAGAAATCAAAAGAATTCTTACTCTTCCTTTACTTTCTTTCTTTGTTGGTTCTCTTCCGTGGACTTACGAAGGACCGAGAAATAACCTTTGGCCAAGTGTTTAAAGGAGAAAGATGAGTGTGTTATGCATCACATAATCAATGGAAATACAAAATTTCTCTATATTCTTCCTTCATTTGTGAGAGAGAGCGTAGTGCTGAGGGAAATTTTGCTAGCGGCTTGTCATTGTTCATAGGCCTATAAGAACATACCTTAAAGACAAGCCACGTCTTCAAGGAATAGTCTATTGCAATTACGTAAATAAAGGTTGTAAGACTGGTGGTGTATTTTTCCCTTATCCGAAAATGATATAGTCAGTTAAGTTAAGAATAGAACGGCCGATGATGAGACTTTACGAGATGGTAAATGATGGTGATAATTTGATATCAAGTAATAAACTTAGCATGAACATCGCTGTATTTCCCATTGCCCATATTATATATAATATATATATATATATATATATATATATATATATATATATATATATATATATATATATACATGTGTGTGTGTGTGTGTGTGTGTGTGTGTGTGTGTGTGTGTGTGTGTGTGTGTGTGTGTGTGTGTGTGTGTGTATATAATATATATTATATATATAATATATATATATATATATATATATATATATTATATATATGTATGTATGTATATGCTTATCCATATACATACCAGCAAGAGCAAGAACCTTCACTAACTCGCGAGACGAAACGAAACAACAAACAAACAAAGCACAAAGATTCCTTCACAGCGACCGATCCGATAATCAATGGTACGGAGATTTCTTTCGCTGATTACGCCTCGGAGGCTTTTTTATCTCTCGCTATCGGCTATCGGGCCTTCTTCTTATCTCACGGTGCAGGAGAATCAGCTGGCCCTCCGCCGCAGTTCTCCTCTAACCTCGGCGGGAGACGCACGGACTTCTCTCCTCCTTGGCATCGTGTGAGTGTGTGTTTACTGCAGCCGTGTTTGGGTATAGATGGGTGTATATTCGTGTATGTAGAAATGTATGCAACTGTGTACGTACATACATATGTGTGTGTATTTATGTTTATTCAGTTGTCTATTCATCTATTTATTCGTGTAAGTGTATCTCTAAGATATGGCTAGTATGGTATGCTATTTTGAATGATAATGGTGAAGTCAAGAGACAATAATATAATTATAAAAAGAAAATTGTAATAATCCTTATGCTCTTTACACACACGCACATGCATGTATACCTGTGTATACATATAGATAGATAGATAGATAAGTAAATAAATAAATATATATACATATATTTTGTTTGTTCGAAAACTCCATTATTTTAAATTCTCATTGTGGATTTTCTTACATTCATTTTTGTGTACACGTTACTGTGTTTGTATTCATATAGGCACCGATGTATATATTGGCCAATTAAATAACAAAATGGCGGCAGAAGTTACACATGCATACAATAATATCCATATAATGACAAGAGAGCAACTATACTATCAGGAAGGTCTAGAGAAACCCAGTATCTCGTAGCGTCTTTATGGATGGAGGTCAGACACGTGAAAAACGGTAGCGTGTCTCGGCAGCTTGGCTCGTGG